CCCACACAACCCTGTGGCACGACTACCTCCTAGACAGTTCGGGCCTTCGAGGACACCGCCTCGATGTCCAAACTCCATCACTTACATCATGACGTTTGGGGCTACCATGGTGTATGATCACGGAACACTCTCCACGCGAGAAGGCGGGCCTGACGCCGTCGTCGGCTGAGCGGGCTTTGCCCCGCCGCCATGAGGAAAAGGAAGGAGGCGGCAAGCGCATTTTCTAAAGGTTTGGAAAGAACATTGACACTAATATTCTTGAGTGGTCTGATCTTTTTTGGGGTCTCCAATGACATCTCTCATATTAGACGCACTATCCGTCCACGCTCACTGGGCAAGCTGACACACGCATTTGTCCGGACTCTCGCAAGTGGCAAATTCAAACATACGAATTGATCTGCAAACGTTTGGATGCCCGGCCGGATTGAATGTCAAAAACGGGCCGCATGGTCCTGCTGCTCTGCTCTTGAGCGGGGTTTCATTGGTGCCGTCGGGAGCTGCTCTGTTTCGACGGCCCAATCCCGACTGAACAGCATTTTTCTGCGAGTATGCACACGACAAAATTCGGATGATGATTCAGTCCGGCCGGGCATGCGTGATTGAAAAGAGCACCCACCGGCCGCTGGGTTTCGTTTCCACATACACGACCATGACCATCAGTGAATAAAATAGCTCATCGATTGGATATATTGCTTGCTCCAGAGTGAGATCTCACTCAGCCATAATACACCAGATCAACCAGCAACAAAGAAAGTAAGAAAGAATAGCAGTAGTACCAACCGAGCGAAAGGAATCGATCGGCAGCCATGGCGGGAGGCAAGAACCTACGGTTCATGTCCCATTTTCCTATCTCCATCCATCCATTAATGGTGTACCATCCTGCTGTCTACTATGTGAAGCAGCCTAGCCTAGTACTGCTTCGTCCCTTTGGTGGTGAGCCCGTAGCCGAGCGGGAAGAGCGGGTCGTAGTGCGCGTCGCCCACGTTCATCGGCAGCTGGTCCACCGACTTGAACCACGTCCGCGGCAGCTTCCCGGTGAACCCGTAGTCGCCGAACAGCGCGTCGGTGACGCCCTGCCCCTCGGAGCCGGGCAGCCACGCCGCCACCAGCGCGTCCGAGGCGGCCAGGAGCGGCTGCACCACCACGGGCCGCCCGCTGATGAGCACCGTCGCGCACCGCACGGCGCCGCACACCGCCTGCACCGTGCTCAGCCCGGGCTCCGGGATGGTCAGGTTCAGGTTGTCGCCCTTGGTCTCCGTGTACGGGTGCTCGCCCACCGCCACGATCGCGTAGGAGAAGCCGCCGCCCTTGACGAACTCCGCGTCGGGGTTCTCCGCGAACACCACGACCGTCGACGGGTCCACGGCGGCCTTCACGGCCTCCAGGATGGTGGTGCCCACGGTGGTGCGGCCCGTGTCGCCCTGCCACTCGATGGTCCACCCCCCGCACTGGTAGCCCAGGTTGTCGGCGTGGCTCCCGGCGACCAGGATCTTGGGCGCCTTCTTGGGCAGCGGCAGCAGCGGCGCGTCGCTCGGCGTCTTGCCGTTCTTGAGGAGCACCAGCGACTTCCTCGCCGCCTCCCTCGCCAGATCTCTGTGCTCCTGCATTCCAAACCGAGTAGGAAGTTTCAGACCTCAGAGTTCAGAATCGCCATGCCAAGCTGAAGGAAGCTGAAGGGAGTTTCTGAGTTTTTCAGCATCGGAGTTTGTTCCCGTACCTGCTTTCCTAGCTGCTCCATCATGGCAGGGTCAGCGTAGGGGTTCTCGAAGAGGCCCATGGTGAACTTGACCCGCAGGATCCGGGTCACGGCGTCGTCGATCCTGCTCATGTTGATCACGCCGCTGTTGACGTGGCCAGTCAGGAGGCTGATGAACTGCTCGTAGTTGTTGGGCACCATGATCTGCAATACCACAAGAATCTTAGGTCTCAGCCTGGCCAGCATCAAGCCACATTACTGCATTCACAGGGAAGAAATTGTGCTCACCATGTCAAGGCCGGCAAGAATGGAAGCCTTGACCGAGTAGGAGTAGTCAGATCCGGCAGGGGTGGTGATCCTGTCAATGCCCTCCCAGTCCGAGATCACGAAGCCCTGCAAACAAGATGCGACAATGGCGATGAGCGTCTGAACATCTGAAGAATGCTCCAGGCCATGAAGAGCAGCTGAACTTGAATTTGATTTTTGATTTTTTACCTTGAATTTGAGCGTGTCCTTGAGGTATCCGGTGACGAGGTCTTGGTTGGCGTGCATCTTGACCCCGTTCCAGCTGGAGTAGGAGATCATGACGGTGGAGACGCCCTTGTCCATGGCGTTCTTGTACGCCGGCATGTGGATGTTCATCAGGCCCTCGCGGTTGATGATGGTGTTGTTCTCGTTGATGCCGTCCACCGTGCCGCCGTCGCCCACAAAGTGCTTCGCGCAAGCTGCCACCTTGTTCCTGCATTCAACACAAAATTTGTACTCTCATCAGTCACATGAGTCCTACATCGGAATTTCTGTATGGTTCATGGACTGGATCTTACTGTCCGGCGACGAAAGGCATGCCGCTGGTGAAGCCCTTGGGGACGTCGCCCTGAAGGCCCGGGATGAGCTCCGTCATGGACTGCACGATCCGGCGGTCCTCGCTGTAGCTCTCGTAGCACCGCCCCCACCTCGGATCTCTGCACACCTGTTCAAGAACAGAAATCGAAACAACAAAAATTCAGCATGGCTCGCCGAGATCCAAAATTCGAAATGCCGCTGACATTGATGTCCAGGAGAGAAGACTCACCGCGATGCATGGTGCGAAGGCGTACTGGATGCCGGTGGCCCTGACTTCGAGCGCGGTGGCCTCGCCGATCCTCTTGACGAGGTACGGGTCCCGGGTGGCGCCGAGGCCGACGTTGTGGGGGAAGATGGTGGCGCCGTAGACGTTGTTCTGGCCGTGGACGGCGTCGATGCCGTAGATCATGGGGATGGCGAGGCGCGTGGACATGCAGGCCCGCTGGAAGCCGTCCACCATGTCCTGCCACTCCTTGGCCGTGGCGCCCTTCCGCGGCACGCTGCCGCCGCCGCTGAGCAGGCTGCCGATGAAGTTGTCCCGGAGCACGTCCGGCGTGGCCACGAGCCGCTCGATCTGGGTCATCTGCCCGATCTTCTCCGCGAGCGTCATCCTGCCCAGAAGATCAGCGACGCGGTCCTCCACGGGCTTGGCGGCGTCCTTGTACAGCAGGTAGTCGGCGTCGGTGCCGCCGAGCACGGCCCAGAAGAGCAGGAGGGCCGCGAAGACCGCGGGCGCCGTGAGCAGCGCCATCCTGTGCCGGCGCAGGAGCGGGGGCAGGAGCCGCCTGACCTGCGCGAAACATTGCAGCGACGTGATGAGTATCGCGGCGAGACCTTCCTCCAGTGGCGAGAGGACGCCTGACCGGAGACGGCAGGCGAGCCCGCCGGCGCCGTCGGCCATGGCGCGGCGTTGGGTCAACGTCAACGGTCGCGGTCAGCGGCGAGAGGAGCCCGGGGCGCCGAGGCTGAGTGGTGCGAGGAGCCATGGCAGCGGGCCGTGCCGGGGCATCGTCATCGCGTGCGGATTGTTTTTGGCAACCACCGACGGGGATGCTTTGTTTACTCCCCAGTTGAGTTGCGATCGTGGGCGCGGGGTGTTAGTTTAAGCGTTGTTTTCCGCCGCTTAATTTGGCAGAGCGCAGAGCAGCATGTTTTGCTTGTACAGAAGAGAAGATGTACTAGTAGTGACATAGTGCAGTTGTGTACCGCAACGGTACTAAGAACAAATTAAAAGCTTGCAAGGACGTCTAATGGAATATATCAAAATCTACAGCTCCAAATCGCAATCCAACAACAGCAGAAGAGAATTAAACGCTGGGCTACAATATTACTTTGAAGCTAATGCTACTATTCGACGCGGCAAACGGGTAGGAAGTAAGCCATGAAAGTGTAATCACCGGAGGCAAGCTGAGGAAGAAGAGGCCAGGAGGCAGCAGCTACGGCGAGCAGGTTGCCTTGCGCGTGCGCCGGTCCCTTTGCAAATGCTGCAAGAACAGGGGGAGGGAGAGCACTATTGGTATGAGAGGTGTGGGGCGGGGTGAAGTACTGGGGTGGTGAAACACCCAGATTCAATGCGTTTGTTGCAACCGATTGGAAATTTGGGACCCTTCCCGCGAGGGAAAATCCAAGCCGCGTGAATGGCCGGCGCGCTTGGACAGACAGTTGGAGTCCAAGCACACACACTAAATGCTTCCAGCAAGAGGCACGCTACTTTTTTGGGGGTTTTCACAGAAGACACGCCTTGTTTTTGGCACGAGACACATGACGAGGTCGCAAGAAACAACCGTGGCCGGCTGGCATGAGTCTCTTACCGGAAAGGGGGCACCGGCACGGCAGAGCGAGGGTAGCTAGGGTGGATGGGAAGAAGAGGCGCGGCGAGGAGGAGGAGGCGTGCTCTTCCCGCTGCCCCTCTCCTTCCCCCTTATATAACCCGGGCAGGCGATCGACGGCGATAAGGTTCATCGACGATCGATCAAGGAGTGGTTGGGGTGTGCGATCATGCAAAACGGAAGCCGCCATTGCAATGCAACCGAAAATGTCCTCTTCTGCTCTGGTCCTCCAACCGCCCGCCTCTGCGTATTTTGGCAGTCATGTCTCCGGCGGATTGGCTGCCCTCTTCCGACGAAGGCCGAACTGAAAACAACGGGGACGGCCGAGAGCGCGTGAGAGCCGTCGCATCTCAACGGCAACAACGGCCCCGGGAATCGCAAGAAACAAAAGGCCAGGAATAGTGTGGTGTGCGGCCGCCAAGGACTCTGCTTAATTTATCCGGCCCTGCGAGCGAACTAACCAACTTACTCTGGCTAGGAGCTTGCTCGCCATGAGGCCCAGCATGCGGTGGAAAACGAAGGCAGTAAAGGAGGAGGAGGGGATGCGGCAGCGGGAAGACGAGAGGGGCGATTGATTGGTTGGTTGAAAGCAAGGATGAATGTTGGTGTGCAGGGGAACTGGAAAGGGTATAAATAGCGGCGGTCGGGTTAGTTACTTACCGGAGATTAGAAGCGACGGCGACCGGTGTGCGGCTGAGGACGACGGCGATGAGTCAGGTCCGATCCGACAGCGACGCCCCAGCCTCCGTGCCTATCTTTCTATCCACTATTCCACCGCCACCTATCTGATCTACCTTTCGTGCAGGATTCTCCCACCTGCCTTGAAACCCGGCCACAACTTGCAGGCAAGCCGCAAGCAACAATGGCAGGAGGAGGACGAGGCCGGAGGAGGAAGAAGGTGTGGGCGGGGCGGGCAACGGCTAGGTGCGGGAGGGATGATGGTCCGGCAGTTTGGAGAGCGTGATTTTATAGCAGCATTGATCGATCGGGGAAGAAACGGCACGCAGAGGGACAGACAGGGACGCAGGGAAGCGCGGAGGAGGTACTACTCGGGCCGATTAGATTAGTGATTAATCCCCAACGTTCGGCTCGGGCTTCGGGGCACGCATCCCAACCGCCCGCCTGGCAACGGACGGCCAGCTGGGGCCGGCGACGATGAATGAATGGGCCATGCATGGGGGTGCGTGCGTTCCCGCCCGGGCAACGTGACGGCCATGTTGCGAGCCGTCCGGCCTCCTCCTTTTTGGTTTTTCCCCGCCGGTCCGAGCACGAGGCCCAACGGTAACCAACCGGACCCGGATCCGGGCGAGGCAGACGTTCGGGCGACTAGGGCCAGCCAGCGCCTCTTTTTTGTTTTTCTCTCTCTTGGGATGATCTTGTAGGACAGCCGTGCAGATCCCTATGCTTCCTCTAGTTCGCACCGTGCCATCTGTCTCGTGCTGGATGGATCTGATTTTTATTATTATTTTGAATTTTTTCGTGCATTTTTTCTCGCTAACAGGATGAGAAGATGGAGCGCATTTCGTTTCTTAATTTGGACGCATGCCCAAGGATTTGTAGCGTGCGCCAGGCTGTTTTAATTTTCCGAACGTTGGGAACTTAACTTTGGGTTAACAACATATGCCGTGCTGGACTGATTAATGGGGTTGTGCCACTGGTAATGGGTGAATCCAAAAGATGGTTATAGCCGTGGACTGGACCGGAGAAGATGGGCCGACCAGAGCAACAAGTCATGCGTTCGTATTTACACGAAAATCGGTACATAGAAAAACAAGTGACGAAATGTGCGTTGCATGTGAAAAGGCTTGAACGATGTTTGAATATTGCCGTTTTTTCTAGCATTCCAAACTGCCATTTGGAAGGATTCGTGTATTTTACTTTAGTTTCAGGCCACCTACTATCGCATATGTCGCGCCTTGTTCCATTTGGTGTAGCTTTTACGTATACGTTCTTTCTTATTTCCAACTGTACGTTCTAAACCGGGCATAACCCAGAAATAAGTGCAGGAAAGCAGCTGGCTGGCTGGGCCGGCAAACTGAGCATCTAGACTACACGTTCCATTTATTTTTTATTTATTTTGCGACTGAAACCAAGAAAAAGAAAAAAAAGATTCAAGGATTGATGAGTGCTTTTGGTTTGTTTCTATGTTCAGGGTAGCCATGGCATGTGCCGTCACGTTTATCATCCGATATCAAAATATCCCCCTCTCCAACAAGTTAACTACGAGGTAGAAACCTAGCATAAATCAAAGTATACAGTGCATCTGTACGGTTTCGCTCGTGCAAACCTTGGTGCTCGACCACGGTTTCCCCGCCTCTTGCCAGCGCCGGCGCCGATCCGTCTCATCTCCTATGATCATGGAGGCATGGTGGATCCCGGTTCTTGCCGGCGGGAGGGCTCCGTTTATAGGTGTTTGTTGAGTTTTGTTTGGGTTTATGCCATGTTCAGGAAGGCGAGGCGGCAGCGGCGGTATCCTGAAGATGGAATAAAGTTCTCCCTGCCTAACCTTCGTCTCGACGGTGCTTCTAGCTTCGTCGGCAGGGGTCGGGAGGTGTGCCTCCGGCGGATCTCGTGGTATCCGATCGGTGGATCCGCTTGGATCCAATCTTCGTTCGTCTACGTTTGTGTGTCTGCAGGTTGGATCCTTCTGATCTACGCTTCTCTTCATCGGCAGTGGTTGTTACTCCGGTGCGCTGGTCCTATGGGGCCTTAGCACGACGACTTCCCGACCGTCTACTACAACAATATATGTCTAGCTCCGACGAGGAAGGGACGATGGCGATGGCGCGCCTTGGGCTCGTTCCGGTGCGTGTAGTCGTCGCTATGTGGTCTACATACCTAGATGTAAATTTACTTCTGGTGTTCTTTGTACTACCTTGACAGATGATGAATAGATCGTAGCATTTCTCCCAAAAAAGCCATGAGCTTGAAACCTAAGAGCATCTACAACCAGAGTCATCACATCCTGTAGGACCTTGAGAAGAGGTGTCTAGAGGGGGGGGGTGATTAGACACTAAGTACCAAAGTTGCAGTTTTTAGGTTTCTTTAAATTTGAGTGGAGTTTAGGCACAAGTTTAACATTCACAACATATAGCAAGCAAGCATGCAAAGAGTATATGAGCAGCGGAAAGTAAAGCATGCAACTTGCAAGAATGTAAAGGGAAGGGTTTGGAGGATTCAAACGCAATTGGAGACACGGATGTTTTTGGCGTGGTTTCGATAGGTGGTACTATCGTACATCCACGTTGATGGAGACTTCAACCCACGAAGGGTAACGGTTGCACGAGTCCACGGAGGGCTCCACCCATGAAGGGTCCACGAAGAAGCAACCTTGTCTATCCCATCATGGCCGTCGCCCACGAAGGACTTGCCTCACTAGCGATAGATCTTCACGAAGTAGGCGATCTCCTTGCCCTTACAAACTCCTTGGTTCAACTCCACAATCTTGTCGGAGGCTTCCAAGTGACACCTAGCCAATCTAGGAGACACCACTCTCCAAGAAGTAACAAATGGTGCGTTGATGATGAACTCCTTGCTCTTGTGCTTCAAATGATAGTCTCCCCAACACTCAACTCTCTCTCATAGGATTTGGATCTGGTGGAAAGAGGGTTTGAGTGGAAAGCAACTTGGGAAGGCTAGAGATCAAGATTCATATGGTAGGAATGGAATATCTTGGCCTCAACACATGAGTAGGTAGTTCTCTCTCAGAAATAGGATGCTGGAAGTGTAGGTTCAGTCTGATGGCTCTCTCCACGAATGAAGAGGAGGTGGAGGGGTATATATAGCCTCCACACAAAATCTAACCGTTACACACAATCTACCAAACTCGGTGGGACCGAATCATTAAACTCGGTCAGACCGATTTAGCAAATAATGTGACCGTTAGGGTTTTCGGTGGGACCGGAATGCAACTCGGTGTGACCGATATGGTTAGGGTTAGGGCATAACATAATCTCGGTGAGACCGATTACACAAACTCGGTGAGACCGATTTTGGTAATTAGCTAAACAGAGAGTTGGTCAGGCAAACTCGGTTTGACTGATTATCAAACTCGGTGGGACCGATTTTGATAATGAGTCAACCAGAAAGTTTGCATTGTAATCTCGGTAGTACTGATTGCTCAAACTCAGTGAGACCGATTTTGATAATGGACATACACAGAGAGATTACAATCCCATCTCGGTGAGATCGAGATCCCTATCGGTGAGACCAATTTGCCTAGGGTTTGTGGCAGTGGCTAAGACATCCAAACTCGGTGGCGCCGGATAGAAAGGATCGGTGGGGCCGAGTTTGACTTTAGGTTTAGGACATATGTGTGGAAGTGGGAAAGTAGTTGAGGGTATTTGGAGCATATCACGAAGCACATGAAGCAAGAGGCTCATTAAGCAACACCTCATCCCTCCTTGATAGTATTGACTTTTCCTATAGACTCAATGTGATCTTGGATCACTAAAATGTAAAATGAAGAGTCTTGAGCTTGAAGCTTGAGCCAATCCTTTATCCTTAGCATCTTGAAGGAGTTCCCACATCCTTTAGTCCATGCCACTCCATTGTTGAACTTATCTGAAATATACTAGATAAAAGTGTTAGTCCAACAAGAGATATGTTGACATTAATTACCAAAACCACCTAGGGAGCACTTGTGCTTTCAATCTCCCCCTTTTTGGTAATTGATGACAACATACATCAAAGCTTTAGATAAAGATATAAAGAACATCAAGTAAAGCTTTGGAAAGACATGTAACAAGCATAGGCTCCCCCTACATGTATGCAATCATGTGAATATTGAAAATGGAAGCATGTGATAGCATAACCATGATAGAGCAGGCAATGTGTTACATGTATCTTGGCCATATGCATCAGAGCAAAAAGAAATATTAAAGGAAATACCTTCATGCCCATGAGTCCTTCTTGCAAACAGTATGTACATCAGCAAGAATTCCTCATACACATGATTGTGATGCATATACTTACCTTGTAGTCTTGAGTTGACTTAGGATGAAATGAACCTACGTAAACAAGGTTAGATAACACAGATACATCTACTAGCCAGAGCAAACAGAAGAAACTATAAGAATGCCAAGACTGGGATGACATGTAGAGAGTGAGTACCAGGTACTACATTTGATTAGACATGTCCCCAAGAGTAAAGATATGCAATGAATTTGAATGATCTCTTTACCTTAGATGTCTTTCTCCCCCTGAATCTAACATGGGATACTGGGAGAAGATATGGAACAGAAAATCAGAGCTGAAAGATATAAATGAACAGAGCTAATGCAAACTAATGCAAGTAAGCACATATGAACATGTCTTTCCCCTCAAGAAGACATGTGGCATCTCTCCTCTTGAACATCAACCATCTGGGATCCTTGAGAAATACTTTCTACTTAAGTATCCTCTCCCCCTGGAGATCTCTCTCTCTCTCTTCCTGAAGGATCTCTCTTCCCCTATGAGATGTGATCTCTCTCT